GTCCTTCCCTCCCAGGGCTGCTACACCGTGATCCTCAACACCTTCGAAACCTACGTCTACCTGGCTGGGGCTCTCGCCATCGGGGTGCTGGCCATCGAGGTGAGTGAAGGCCCCACTCCCGCCATTTCCTTACCCAGGACCAAACGGGCGCCCACCGTGGGCACTGCAGGGTACAAGCCCAGCTGGCTGCCCGCTGCCTGAGCATTGTCCCTGCACTCTGGAGATGATGCATCGAGCCAGTCTCCTGCCAGTGGGGATGGGCAGGCCCTGAGAGACTCCCCACCTCCCTCCCACTCCCCCATCCATGCCCCCACCTCCACCCCAGCTCCCAGGGTGCACTCTTGCAGAGGGATCAGCACAGCTGCCTTGAGGGACAAGCGGCAGCCTGTGGTTCTAGATCAGGCTTCTTCTCCTTGGGGTGTTCAGGGCCTGCGAGGCCTTGTTAACCTGCCAGTGGTGGGCTTAGCCCCCTTTGCCCAAGGGCCCTAGAGTCACCTGGAGAAAGGCGAGCCGCTGCAGACCATTTGCAGCTACCACTAGGTGGCGCTCCAGCCAAAGGGAGGAGCTGCCATCCTCCCTGGGATCTCGAACCCACTGCCTCGGTGCTGGATGGGCAGCTTTGCCCACCCCTAACTCTAGGACGGGGCTCTCTGGGGCCTCAGCCAGCCGTCAACCTGCAGGGAAAGGAAGTCAGACGGCCTGATCCTCCGTTTCCCACTGTGCCCAAGAGCCCCGAGAGAGCAGTTCTGCAGAGGCTATCAGGGATGGGGACAGGGAGGGTCATTTATTTATCTGTTCATTTATTCAGCAAGCATATACCGAGCCCCTGCTGTGTGCCAGCACTGCCGTAGGTGAACAAGCCCTCTCATGGGCGGCAACAATGAACAAGAAACAGACAAATCTGCACCGGGAGCCTGGGAGAGCTCAGGACTGTGTCCCATGCAGGGAGAGTGTGGCTTGAGAGTCCAGCTCCCGGCTCTGCCTCTCCCCAGACGCACAGCCAGTTTCCTCATCTGCAGAATGGCGCCAATCACCCTGCCCCTAGGGCTATGGGCGGTGCAGAGGATGGGGACAACGTGGCTGTCGCGCAGCAAGCAGTGGCTCTGTGCTTGATCCTCCCCCTCGCACCCTGCCCAGCCCCAAGCCGGGCTCAGCCTGGAGGGGAGGCAGAATCCTGCTCGAGGCCGAGACCTCTACTGTGGCCACAGGCTCCAGCCTCCTCCGCCCACTGAGCCTCCTGGAGACTTGGCCGTGAGCCGTGGTCTGGGGACTGTTCCTTGGGCTACTTGCAAGAAGAGCTCTGGCCATGGTGACATCAGCTAATCTGGTCAGAGGGGAGTCCCCGAGGCAGGGTCTCTGCCTGCCCCACCTCCCCAGGGCCCTCAGACAGCAGTTCAGGGGTTAAGCGTGTAACTCTGGGGAGGGTGGCCTGTTAAATACAGTCCTGCATCATTGCCCCCCACTTAAATCTCACCACCTTCCTGTGAGCTCGCGGGGAGAGCGCAGGGCTTATGACTGTGGAGTCAGAATGCCTGGACTCACACCTTGACTCCCGCTTGTAGCTGTGTGACCTCGCGCAGGTTATGTGACCTCTCTGTGCCTTGCTTCCTGGTGCATGGAAAGGTTCCCAGGAAAGCACTTAGAACCAGCCTGGCACTCGGTAGGTGAGCTCCAGATATATACTCAGGCCCAGAGAAGGGAAGTGCTTTGCCCAAGTTCACCGCTGGCAAATCAGGGAGCTGGACTTGGAGCCGTGACTCAGTTTCCAAAGCTCCCCTTCTCACGCCAGGTGAGAGGTGGCTGGTGAGAGGGGCCTGGCCCCAGGGGCACGTCAGGAATCCCCACGGGAGGAAGGTGCTGAGAGGCAGATGGCCCCTTCTCCTCGGAGTGGGCTGGGCAGCCTGGGGGGCCGTGGGCCCAGCCTGACAAGCCGACTCCTGCTTTCTTTACAGCTTTTTGCCATGATCTTCGCCATGTGCCTCTTCCGGGGCATCCAGTAGATGGTGTGGCCTGACGCCTCGCCCCGCCCACCACCGCCCAGCACCCAATGCGCTCCCCTGCCCTTCCCGCCGTCCTCTTGGCCCCGAGGGAGGAGATGAGGCCATCGTGGATGGCCAGGGGAATAGAGCTATTTTTTTAACAAGACATAATGAAGACAAAAATAAGGACTGATGTACCCTCGCCCGGACTCCAGGGCAGGTGCCATGGGCTCTCCACAGGGACCCCAGCGCCCGGGCCAGGATGCAGTCTGCTCTAGAGACCAAAGGAACACCAATCCCAGGCCCCCTCCCTGGCCCAGCCAGACTCGGTATCCCCAGGCCGGAGCCCACTCTCCTCGCAGCTTCAGGACCTGGTGCCAACAATAGACAAGGAGGCAAAAGCAAACCTCAGAGAAGTCATCAAAGCCCAGGGAGACCCAAGGAGACTCAGCCACCCCGACCTTGAGGACTGAGAACCTACAGTGCAATCTCTGGCCCACTGGAGGGTGGAGTTGTCCCCACCACAGGCCAGGGCCAAGAGTGGGCTGCAGACACTGGATCCAAGAACAGCCCAGCTGGCAGAGCCCTTGCTTTCCCATCTGTTGGACCAAATAATCTTGAAGGCCCAGAGAGGAGTAGAGACCTGTCCACAGTCACACAGCACACGCATGACAGTTCTGAACAAGAACCTGAGTTGTCGCCAGCCTGCTGGCATTTCATCCAGGGCTCTGTCACATCTGCTGCTCACACGCCCCCCTGGCCTTGGTATCCTGGTTCCCGCAGAGAGAGAACGCGGCCAGCTATACAGCTAAGACTCTGTACTGTGTGCCCCCACCCTCTCTTAAACCTCCCCACACTTCCAAGTCCCCACAAAACACACGTACACACATCACATCCCGTTGTCCACTCTGCCCACCTCTCCCCACAAGCCACCCCCTTCCCTGTTCTTCCCCAACTCCCTGGCTCCCAGAGTGGAAGAAGCCCCCATAGCCATCTGGGTCTCCCTCTCCCCACCCAGAACTGAGGCTTGGTTGTCTTCTCCAGACCCTTGCCAAGATTCTCCACCTTCTTGCACACCTCCAGGGATGGAGAGCTCACTACCTCCCAAGGCAGCCTTCTGCCTTTGGACTGCTCCGACTTCAGCAGAATATACAGAAGAGGTTTTCTGTTTTTCTGTGATACCGTCCATGGCATCCCACTTGCTCCCTCTCCTTCCCGGAGTGTCAGGGCTACACATTGACTCCCCTGAGCCCTGTTCTTTCTAGGCTATGAAGTCCCCAAGGCATCTCTGCCATTTCTGCTGTGACAAGGTGTCCTGCCACTTCCCACTGTCCATACATTTCTGAGTATTCCCTCTAGGCTTGGGCAGGGATGCTCACAACATACATGCCTGTCTAGACCAGTGTCCGCAACTGGATTGCAAGATGCCTCGACCCTGATTCATCAGGACTGCCTGCAGAGCCTGTGCTGAGGATCCAAGGTTTGGTCTGGGGTCAGTGGGAGAGGGCAGCACAGTCCTGATTCGTGATGTCTGCCCGACACCCTCAGTGTGATTAGTGATGTCTGCCACAGGCACAGAGACGGAAGGAGTAGCACGATGCCTGCTCTCTGCTCTCTCCACGGTCCCTCTTCAGGTCCTACAAAGAGCCCATCCTGTCTCACAAGCCTCTGGCACCCTGTACCAGTTCCTGGCCTCTCCTTGTGCTTTCCAGCTAAATCCGGAGACAGAGCCCCGTGGTCCCTGCCTGCCACCCGAGATCCAGCCAGGAGCTCTGTGCCTGCAGGAAAGATTCAGTGTGACCCGCCTTCCCCTCCTCCTGCTGTGCCCACCAGTCCTGGCCCTCCCCCCAGGTTCTGATTTGGTTTTCCCAAACTGTCACTGTGACAGCCTGCCCTGGCGACTCCATACGTGATGCCAGGAGCTCCCTAGAGACCAGGATCCAAGGGGACCTGCAGCTGGGACCCCAGCCTGGCCTAAGGGCCTGGGGCCTGACCCTCTCTGGACCACCCACCTGATTAGCTCCAGCTTCCTGGCAGAAGCAAATGGCTGGTCTGGGATTAACTAAAACCCCAAACCCAGGCTGGGCAGGGCTAGAAATTGCACAGCTCTGTGGCTCCAGTCCAGGGGCATCCGGGGCTTCTGCCGCCCGTGGAGGAGCTAGAGGGAGGATCTAGGAGAAAGGGCGGATCACGGAGAAACAGCTGGCTCAGGTGGGTTCCAGGTGGATCCAACACTCCCCGAGGGCTTTCTGTAAAGGTGCCCAGGAACCTGCATCTGCCACTTCGCCTCCCCAGGGCTGGAGAGGAAAAGCAGATCATCTCTGCTCCCATGGCATGCGCCCAGGCTGGTAGCTGTTGGCAAGGCTGCCTGAGGCCATTCCTAGGCGCCAAGGAAAATAAAGCTCAGCCCAAATCAAGCTGGACCCTCCCTCCCTGCACAAGACCCGCAGGCGCCAGGGTTCAGCTGGCTTCGTCCAGATACAACCCACAGTTGGCCACTGGTGGGGGGGAAGGGGTGGGCAAGGATGCCTCTTCTTCCCACCCCAGGGTACAACAGCCCATAACTGAGACCTCCTCTGACCCCACAAACAGGGCAAGGAACAAGGAAAACTACACAGTTGATCACACACCCTACCCTGTTCTGAAAGCCACTTTCCTGAAGTTACTGCATCTTGGAGAAAGGAAATCTATCTTAGGGGTGGGGGGTAAGGGGCTCAGCCCCTCCCCAGGCTCTCTGTTGACACGCAGCCTTGTTGCTTGGGCCCTCCCTGGCCTCTCTCTGTCCTTGCCCAAGGGGCCCAGACAGGACTCCCCAAACCAGCGAGGCCCCGACACCCCATCTCCCCAGAAACCCCCTCCTCCCTTCCCCTGCGGGCCCTGTGTTGAAAGTCTATTTTGGAAACTGTACATGTTCCTTGCAGTAGATAGCAGAGCTAATTTATCATGTTTATCTCCAGCGAGCCCCCTTTTTATATTATATATCGAGAGGAGTTTTTGTAATATAAAGCAGGACGCCCACACTGATGGTTTTGCACTGGTTTTTGTGACTGTTTCTTACAAAAAGAAAAAGGATCGAAGAATAAATAGTGACCGTGAAGAAAGGTGGTCTTGATTTGGAGGTGGGGGTAGCCTGAGGCTGAGGCAGAAGCTTGACAAGAGGGTGCTGGGTTCCGGCTGCCGGGGGACTGGGAGAAGAGGCATCCCAGGTCACCCCAAATGGAGCGGAGAGCTGGGCCCACGCCCGGCCTTCCCGGCTGCAGGGGAGGGTCCCTCTCCCCTGTCACTGCCTCCCTCCCGACCATAACCCTTCCTTGCCTTGATGTCCCCTGTCCCCGAGGCCACATCTGTCCTGCAGGTCTTAGCTGACCTCGGGGACCCCCACCCCCACCCCCGGGATTCCCCACAATGAAGTCTTAACTAAGCCACACCATGTCATGAGCTCTGCTCTGTGCCGCTGCCTGGAGAGCCCCACCCCGGGGGGCAGGCCACGCCCCCCTCGCCATCCGGCAGCTGAGGGTGGAAGGTTTGGTGGGCGCAGGCCCCCGCCTGCCATGCCTGTCAGTTACGGGAAGCACAAACCAACCGTCACCCCCAGGGGCTGAGCTGGGCCTCAGCAGGCCTGGCTCAGAGGGGAGAGTCAGGCTGGGGCCTTTGGGAGGCAGCACTGGGCTCCCGCTGGCCCGGGTCTTGGCAGCAGGGGACAGCCCTCTAAGAGTCACAGACTCGGATGCCAGGACAGAGGGGCCCTTCCCCAGAGTCCAGCCTCCCACTCCACTCGGCCACTGGCCTCAGCTGCGTGACCGAGGTAGCGCCACCGCTCTGCTGGGCACGGGCCACGTCACTGCACACGTGGCTGCAGGACAGCTTGGCCCAGGCAGAGGCCCACCAGGCAGCGGCAACCCCACCTCCCCCAACTCTGTCTCATGAAGGGGAAGGAAGTCTGGGGCCAGTGGCCGCCCCCTCTCACCGCTTCCCCGGGACTCGCCAGTCCTGCTGTGCGCCGGCGTGCCGGCGGGAGGGGGGCACCCGGCACAGCTGGGGGACCTGCAGGGAGAGGCAGGGCAGGGCGTCTCCGGGGCACTGGGTGAGCTGAGAGGCAGGGCCTGCAGAGATGTTTCTGTTTACTCGCTTGAGGCCTGTGCCGCCAGGCCTCGGCCTCGGCCTCGGGGGCAGCTCCCTGGTGGGCGGGGGTGGGGCGGGCAGGGGTGAGCCAGGTGGACATCAGGCCACAGCTTTCCTTCCCCCCATCTCCAAATGCCATCACTTGCAATGGCTCCATCGGGAGCTGTCTGTGTGCCCATCTGTGGGGCCTGTGCGTGTGGCCGCTGGCAGCCTCTGAACCCAGAGCAGCTGGAGGCAGCCCTAGAAGCAGAGCCCCAGAGCAGGCCCAGGACAGCTCACCACGGGCCAGGCCTGGGGTGGGGACAGGGCTTCTGGCTGCACGTGGCCCATCCGCACAGAGGCTGAAAGGGCAGTGCCATCTCAAAGACAGCCCACCCCTGCCTGTCCACCCTCTGCTGGGCTGTGGGAAGGGGCACACGTGTGTGTGTGTGTGTGTGTGTGTGTGTGTGTGTGTGTGTGTGTGTGTTTCAGGGGGCACACATGGGGAGGGCCCAGGTTGAGAGGTTGGGGCACAGGGCCAAGTTCTCAGGTTTCCCAGGCACAGAGGGAAGCCAAGTTCAGCTGCTTGGGCACTAGGTTGCCTGGGGGTGCAGGGAGAAGGAGGGGGTTGGTCCACAGCCTCTCTCGAAAGCAAGAAGGGCTTCCTGGCAGAAGAGGCTGGACCCTTGACTTAGCCCACTACCCCTATGACGCGAACTTGACTTCAGTCTGTCTGTCGAGGGGATCTGGAGGCCAAGAGACCTAAGAAAAGGAGGTGCCACTGTGTAGAGTGAAGAATGGGGGTGCAGAGGCCCCCATCTCTCCCCAAACCAGGATCTCAAACCTGGAAGCCCAGGAGAACACAGCATCCGGCGAGTGCCCAGGAGGAAAGGAAGGCCACCACCCCTGCCTGCCCGGGCCAGGGCAGGGGTCCCCCGGCCTTCCAGGACCAAAGGGAAACAGAGGCCCCAGAGCCACCCTGCTCCAGGCATGGGCAGGGTCCCTGGCCCAGCAGGCGGCTAGACTTTCTTGGGTCTTCGGCCGACCTGGTAATAGTAGTAAACGCTGATGATGACAAAAAGGAGGCGGCTGGCCAGGAGCAGCAGGGTCCCCAGGGACATGAGGCCCGTCTCGGCTAGTGTGGCAGTGACCACTGTGGGAGAAAGGCCAGGGAGGGGACAGAGGTCAGAGGAGGGGATGTGCCCTCACGCCCCACCACGGGATGCCACGCTGAGCCCAGGGGTCCTGCCAGCTGGGAAGGGCAGTGCCCGCCCCCGCCCCTGCTGAGCCCACAGACGTTTCTGTCCTGATGTCCCCATGTGGCAGGAGCCAGGGCACAGCATGTGGGCACAGTTGAGCCTGTGCTGCCACACAGGTGCTGGGTACACAGTGAGCAGCGGTGCGGGAGGGTGCAAGGCTATGGATACACACGTGGAATTAGAAGATACAGGTATGTGTATCAGGTGTGTGCAGGCACACGGGTACACAGCCAGGTGAGTCCCTGCCCCTCTGCCCACCCCGGACAAGTTGTCATCACTTCCTGCAAACTCAAGTGGCTGGAGCTGGCAGGTGGGGGCCAAAGCTGCCCACCTGCACCTCGCTCAGCCTCCCTCGCCGCCCACCTCAGGACTCACCCAAGAACTGGACCGCGAAGTAGCAGGCTTCCGTAAGCAGGGTCCACCGAATGATGACCTTCTCGGCCGTGTAGAGCGCGTTCCACATGATCAGGGAGATGCCTGGGGGCGGGGCAGGACAGCCTGACTCCCTCGAGGCAGGGGCAAGGGCCTGTCCCTCCTCTCTCTGGCCACTGCTGCAAGACAGCCAGGGCCCTGGATTCCATGTCCCCACCCCAACTCACAGTCCTCAAATCAAAGGGGTCTGTCCCTGCCCCATCCCTTCCAGCCTGCTCCTGTCATTTCCAAGGCTAAGTCATTTAGCCCTGGGCAAGTCATTTCTCCCACTGGACTCAGTCTCTTCATCTGTAAAGTGGGAGGACAGAGCTGCTGGTTCTGTCATTGGGATCCTGCAGATGGAGTCTGTGAGTGAACGGGTTACATGCTCAGGTGATAGAATTTTCTTTCCTAATGGACTCCTGAGGACAGAACACCTGAGCCCATGAAGGAATCACTCTAAGGAACACCTAGGAGTAGGGGACGGACAATATTCCTTAGTGGAAGAGCTACCAACTCAGCCTCTAGCAGGCCCCATGGATGGCCAGTGTCTGCTGGCTCTGAACACCAGGTGTTACCAAGTGTGGACATATTTTATTTCAGCCACCCTTACTCCAGAAGAGCTGAGACTTTACTCTGCTGGCAACAGGGAGCCATAGAATGTTTTGGAGGAAGGGAGGGATAACACCTATGCTGAGCTTTAAAAACTGTAATCCAGCTTCTAGCAGCCACTGTGTGCATCTCAGATCACAGGATCAGCTGTTCGGATGCTCTGGCGCTACAGATGGGAGGGGTGTCGCAGGCACCGCACTGACTCTGCCTCTCCTCTAGGCTGTGAGCCCTGGAGAGCTGGGCCTGGGCCTCATTCACCTCCACACGCACTGCCCAGGCCAGTGCACTAACACACAGCGAGCATCAGCGCCTGCTTGTCCCAGGCGGTGGCAAAGATGAGTCCCGAGCCGCTGCTGGGTGTATGCCACCCATGGCCACAAGATGGCAGCATACACCCAGCAGAGACACCCATCCGCGGCGGGGCGGAGGGGCGGGGCTGCAGCATCCGGGCCGGGGAAGGAAGGGGCCCCAGCAGAGGACGGCTCCCCGTGTCCCCGCCTGGGACCCCAGTAGCTCTTGGCCTCCCCCGGGTCCGCCCCAGCAGTACTCACTGAGGAGGGCGCCACCATAGAGACGGATGGGGGTCTTGCTGGTCACCTCGGCTCCATCGAAGACGGCATCGTAGAGCTGGTCGGGGAAGGCGAGTGCCTGTGGGTGGCGGGAAGGGGGACTCAGCGGTCAGGCCCAGGGCGGGAGGGGGTGACTGTTGACATTTCCCACGGGCACATCTCCTTCCCTCCACCACGGAGCAGGGCTGGGGTCGCTGGGCTGGTCCCTGGGGCATCCAGTGTGGGGACCTGAGGGCCCCCACCCCACCATGCCAGCACAGAAGGCTCAGGCAGAGTCAGGGCCCTAGACCTTGGACTCCAGGAGGCCCCAGGGCAGGGCGCAGATGGGGATGTGTCAGGAGCTGGGCAGATGGCCAGACAGGATGGCAACGCAGGGAGAGGCGGCTGGGGGCCAGGGCTGGGGTGGGGGCTCACCATGACAGCAATGCCGGAGAAGAGCACAGCGGAAACGAACTGCCAGACCCTGGGGAGGCGTGCAGAGGAAGGTCACAGCCGGGCCCCCGACTGCCACCCCAGGCCCCAGGGGACCCTCCCTTTTCCAGCCAAGGTGCCCAGGGATGGCTGGTTTTGGGGGAGATAATGAAATGAGATGGAGTCAAGGGCAAGAAGAAACGGGCACAGCCGAAATGAAGGGGTCGTATGCAGCCCCCCACCCTGCCCCTGAAACAAACTCAGATAAATGCTCACCTGAGCCCCAAAGGCTCCCGAATAGTGAATTTGGTCTCATTGCCCAAGACCTGGCTGATCTGTGGACACAGTGGGGTCACAGGCAACCAGGGTGAGAGCAGCTCTCAACACACCCGGCCCCTCATCCTCCCAGAGCCCCTGGCATGCCCAGGGATTGGGACGGTCACACTGAGGCTGCTCTGTCTCCCACATCCCCTTGACGCCAGGGATGAAAAGCAGCTAAAAATACGGTGGCTAAGAGTGAAAGCTCAGGGGTCTGCCCAATGTGGGCCTGAATCCTGGTTCTGCCATTTACTGGTGTGACCTCGGGCAAATCACTTAACCTCTCTGAGCCTCAGTTTCCTCATCTATAAAACAGGATAATAATTGTCAGTCTCTTCAGCTCCCAGTGCTAGCAAGAAGATTTTAAAATGCATATACAGGCTGGGCACAGTGGCTCAGGCCTGTAATCTTAGCACTTGGGAGGCTGAGGCGGGAGCATCACTTGAGGCCAGGAGTTCAAGACCAGCCTGAGCAAGAACAAGATCCCCATCTCTACAAAAAATAGAAATATTAGCCGGGCATGGTGGCGCATGCTTGTAGTCCCAGCTACTCAGGAGGCTGAGGCAGGAGGATCGCTTGAGCCCAGGAGTTTGAGGTTGCTGTGAGCTATGACACCACTGCACTCTAGCCCAGGGGACAGAGCAAGACTCTGTCCCTCCCACCAAAAAAAAAGTGCTTATACAGCAGGGTGCAATACCTGGCACATAACAGCCACTCAATTAATTCTAACGATCTGCTTTTGTTATTGTTGTTATTCTCCTGACATCTCCATTAGATTCCTAGAAAAATGATCTAAGTCCTAGGACTCCTGCAGCTGTATGAGCCTCAGCTACTCTTCTCAAATGGCGAGTCAGACCTGCCTCCCCACGTTGGTGCTCAGAGGCAGGCCCCTGCCCGGTGGCCCACCTTGGAACGGTGCACCTCCCCGTCATCGTCCTCCCCGCCCACGCCCAGGATCTTCCGGGTCTTCAGGCGGCTCACGAGGTCCGTCTGGCTGTGCTTCTTCATGAGGGGTGGGGGCTGCTTGGCTGCCATCTTGTCCTTGAGCCTGGCCTCTGCAGAGGGCTGAGGGGAGACAGGGGCCTCAGGCCACCTTCCCACCCAGCCTCCAGACCTCAGGGGAAGGGGCCCAACAGTCTGGGGGCCCAGACCCCCTCCAGGCTTGCCCAGGCCTCCCATCAGCCTGGGGCAGCAGGTGGAGCCCAGCTGGCCTCAGTTTCCTCATCTGTCGAATGGGCTGTGGGGATGCTCCTCAGGCCCTTCCGACTCTGGGAGCCCCATTTGGCATAAATGGACATGACACACCCCATCCCGCCAGGCTGACCAGCCCTGGAGGACTGGTGACCAGGAAAGGGCATTCAGGCCTGGATGGAGACCCCACCCGAGCTTCCTGGGGGGTGGGGGAAGGGTCCTGGGTCAGTGGGGCCGGCAAGGCTTCGAAGAGGGGAGGGTCTGCCCAAGCCTGGGCCAGGCGCTTCTGGGGTCCAGGCCCCCACTGAACTTCTCCCAGGCTATCGTGCTGCCCAGCAAGGCCCCATATCTCCCTACCCACCTCCTTCAAACAGGATCAAAGGAAGGGGAGGGGGTGGCCCAGGACCCAGCTGAGCCAGAGGAGGCAGGCCAGGGGTGTTGGCAGGGACGCTGCCGAGGCCTTGCCCCTATCAACACCCCCACCCCAGGTCTGCTGGTGACCCCCCACAGCCCCCAGCCACCCCCAGCAGCGCCTCGGGCCAGGTCATAAGCACCTGCTGTGTGCCAGGCCCTGCGCTGGGTGACGGAGACGCAGAGATGAGCTGAGCGCCCGTCGTGTCTTCAGTCAGCTGAAATCTACGCAGAGGAGACAGAGGTGTAGACGGGGAAAGGACTGAGAAGGAAGCGCAGGCTCCGAGGCTCCGGGGGTGGCCCTGGCTCCTCTAGTCACAGCCACCCTGCGAGACGGGCGCTGTTTATGCCCACGCTGCAGAGAAGGGCACCAAGCTCCCTGGGCGTGGACGGAAGATGGGAGTGAGGACCAGGGGTGAACAACGGCAGCACCTCCGCCCCCTCACGTCCACTCGCACCCACGCTCCAGCAAGGCAGAAAGCCATCCCCAGGGACAGACAAGGCTCAGGAGCCACCTGTCCCCCCGCCAGGGGACCCTGTCATCTCAGTGCTGTGTTGCCCCAGCAAATCTCATCCTCCCAGCCCCAGGCAGGGCTGGCAGAGGCCAAGGATGGGAATGTCCCCAAGAACGTGGAAATGTCCCCAGGGCACCTCCTGTTTTCAAGCTTGCCAGCGTTTCCAAACAAAATAAAGCACCCAAACAAATCAACGTCAGAACAGAGAATGAACCATGGGGCATCTGAATAACATGGCCTTAGACTGGATCGACTAGGAGGTGGCGTACCAGCTCGCGCTGGGCAATCACAGCAGAAGTCGACATGGAGGCCAACGGGTGTCACGGCCAGACCAAAGGGCCCTCCTACTCCCCTGGGCCTTAGTCCCTCATCTATAAAGGGGGTGGCTATCCTTTCCCCGCTCCCCACACACGGGCCCTGGGTGACGGGAAACCAAGGGCGGTGACCGTGAGGGCAGTCCCGTGCCCAGCACGTGGAGGCTCTTGGTTAAGGCCGCCGTGGTGTGTGCGAGCCAGCAGGGAAGGCGGCCCGCCCCACCCCGACAGGGAGGCCGGTGTCTAGCCTGTCATCACACGGCTCCCGGAGGGCCCAGGATGCTGTCCCAGCACCTCAGCTGCCTGCCACCACTTCTTGGGAATCCAGATGGAAGCTATAATTAGCCTCGTCCCTCCGGCTGCCCCAAGAGCCAGCGAGCCCAGAGCCGGCCTGGCCCTCAGCAAAGGACACGTTAACTGTCGCCTGGCCCTTCCTCACCCTTCCTCTTCCAGCCTCCCCCCTGGGCTTTCATTTTTTTAATACGTACAGCAAAACTGACTTTTTTTGGCTGTACAGTTACATGAATTTTAGCACATACAGATTCATGCAGCCGCCAGCTCCAAACCAGGACACAAGGCAGTTCCATCAAACCAAAAACTCCCCGTGCTGTCCCAGCGACACCCTCCCCTCACTCCTGGCAGCCACTGATCTGTTCTCTGTCACTACAGTTTTGGTTTCGTTTTGTCAAATTATGTCACATACACGGAACGATCAAGTAGGCAACCTTTCAAAACCGGCTTCATTCGGCACGCGCCTCTGAGGTTCACCCGGGCGCTGGGCGTGGCAATGTCGGCTCCTGTTCACGGCAGAGCAATATTGCAGGGGACACACGCACCGGTTTATTTATCCATTTGCTCAATGAAGGACATGTGAGCTGCTTCCAGCTTTAAGAACAGAGCCGCTGTAAACATTCGTGCACAGCTTTTCGTGGGACAAGTCTTCATCTCTCCAAGGTAAATACCAGCAGTGAGACTGCTGAGCTGTACGGCACATCTCCGCTGAACTTTCAGACAAAGCGCCAAACTGTCCCTCGGAGCGGCTGTCCCAGTCCCCACTCCCCAGCGGGGCATGAGCGTTCCAGCTGCTCCACGTCCTCCCCCTGCCAGCACTCGGTATGTCGGGCTCTATTTGTCCTTCCAGGCCCTGCTGGCTTTTCAACCCTCCTCGAGCAGCCCGACGTGCTGCCCCGCTCAGTCCTGCCGCGCCCCTCCCCGGCCGTGTGGCCTCGTGCTCTGTTTCCCTGCGAGATGCAGCCATAATGCCCACCTCCTGGGGATTGTGGGGCAACAGAGAGAAGGTGGCGACAGCACTCAAGGCAGCACCTGCACACCTGAATGGAGAAACCGCATTTGGTGAGGTCGGCTTTGAGCCAGGTGCCCGGGGGGAGCGACAGGCCGGGTGGGGAGGGGGCACTGATTGGAGCGAGTTACTTCTCCTCCCTGAGCTGCAGTGCTCTCGTGTTGAAATGAAAACGACCGCCCTTCCTCTTCCCCTAGAGCTGGTCTAAGGAGAAACAAAACAATGGACAGCAAGTGCTTTACAAAGAGCCAGCGAACTGCTAAAGCCAGAAGGCACAATGGTTACGAGCGTGATTGCGTGCCTGTGGACAAGTCACTTAATCTCCGCGTGCCTCAGTCTCCCCATCTGTAGGGGAACACCCTATCTCTGAGATGCTGCGAGAGTAGAATCTCCATGAAGTCCATGGGAAAGTACCCGGCGCGGACAGCGGGCACCACCACGCTCCCCAGGCCTCCCACGCGGAGGCGGCTCTGGATGGGGCAGGGGAGGACCGGGTGCCCGGACCGAGAGCGTTTCCCAATCTCGCCACCCCATTAAGCAAAGCCCCAGACCTCGGTCCCAGGCCACAAGGCCCACCAGGCCTGGGGTGTGACACCGACCCACCTCAGGGGGTCAGAAGGTTCCAAGCATTAGAAGCACTGCCTTCCTCTGCCAGTTGGCCCCTGCCCACCACCACACACACACACACACACACACACACACACACACACACACACACACACCCTGCTCCCCTCTGCACCGCAGGCCTGAGCCCACCACATGGACTACAAAGGCTGCGGGCGTGTCAGCGCCAGCCTGCTGGGGCTGGATCCAGAGTGAGCGCTATAGTGTCCTGGGTGGTGTCCCCCAGGGGTGGCACAAGCTTTATCCACCAGCACTGCCATCAGGTACCTGGGCGGGGGACCCACGCTGGCCACCCTCAGAGCCCAGCCCCGGCAGGGAGCTCTCACACACAAAGGGCCCCCAAGGCCTCCCAGGGGGAAGGGGATCCCCCGCACCCACCTTTCAGCGCAGCTAACTGCTCTGAGCACTGTCTGTCCCTGCTTCACCCCAGGATTGGGCCCTGCGAGATCATATCCGCCCGCCAGCCCCTAAACTGCCCTACCCTCGGGCTGGCCACACCCACCCCCAAGATCTCCCCTTGACCCTTCCTGCCCTTCAAGACCACTCCAAGTGTTTATTTCAGGCCTGGCACCATTTTAACCTAAGTGGGGACAGAGGGCGTTTCCCACTCCACCCCGTGCACCCTGGCCAAACACTGGCTTTGGGGGGGTGGACCTGGGCTTCAACGTAGGCTCCGCCCTCCTGCCAGCGGCGTGGCTTTGGGCAAGTCACCACGGCGCTCCCAGCCTCAGTGTCCCCCTGTGAAACGGGGTCATGAGAATGCCTGCCTGGCAGAAGCACTGGTGGATAGAGAGGGGAGCACAGGTGGGTGCCGGCTGGCAAGGTGCCCACCCAGGGAGGCACCCGGCTCTCCTTCCGCTTCCCTCCTTCGCTCAGCTGCTCACAGTGGAAAAACCTGCCAGTCAGCACTGCCAGGCTTCCTGTCCCACCCAGCTGCCTTCTGAAGGGCCGCAGGGCTCCCCCAAGGGGCCGGGCTGCTGGAGGCTGGGGGAGGGGTGGGCAGGATCTGCCAGCTCACCTCCCCTCAAGGAGAGGGGAGAGGGTGGTTTCCAGAGCCAGGCCCTGGGGTCCTGAGCCTCTGCCTTCTGCTCCTGGCCAGCCTCTTCGACCCGATTCCCAGCTACCCCTGGCACCTGTCCTTTGAACAGTGGTTCCCACTGCTGACCCTTTCCCCAAGAGGGAGGGTCCTCCCTGACACTGCCCTGCCCCCACGCCCCTTGCTCAAGGCCATCTTTGCGGGGCCCTCTCCCTCCTCCCGACTCTCGTAGGTCTCAAGAGCATTTCGTGGCAGTGTGGTCCCCCAAGACGGAACAACCTCAAGTTAGGGCTGGTGTTGTGCTCATCCGCGTATCTCCCCTGGGCCGAGGTGCACAGTAGGTGCTTTGTCGGCACAAGTGGGACGAGTGGCAGTTGGGCTAACGCCACCCAGAACGCCCAGCCTCACACCAGGTCAGACGTGGCGGGCCCCAGGGGAGGCTCTCCTCCAACCGCACACTTGACAGAGCAAGAAGCTGAGGCCAGAGGGGGCAGCTCGCATGGAGCTGGGGGTGCAGTGCAGGAAGGGGCTTCGCAGTTAAGCAGAGCCGGGTTTGCGTCTGGTCACCCCTACTGGTCTGGTGGCCTTGGGCAAGCGGTGTCACCTCCACGCCCTCAATACAGTGGGAATCGCACAACGGTGCCTTGCTCATGGGGTACCGAACACTCTAGGAGAGCGGGTGCAAAGGCTCTGGGCAGAGGGCCTGGCGTAGGGCTACCTGGGAGTGGGAGAGTTAGAGAACTGGATGGGAACACCAGGCCCCTGACCTTATCTCCGCCACCTCAGAAAGCTGTGGCATCACCAGTAGGGAGTGCCACAGGGCAGGGACTTCTGTTGGTTTTGTTCTCTGTGCCTGGGACAGCAGCGGGCACAGCACAAGAGGAGCTCAGCAAGTATCTGGGAGTGAATGAATTGGGAGGAGGGGTCGAGAGGCCCTCTGCAGGCCAAGGTCTGACTCCCACCTCCTCCTCTGCTGTGGAACCTGAGGTCCCCTTAGCTCCCAGTGGCAGCAACAGAGACGCTATGACAGGAACAAGCAAAGCCCCCCATCCCCAGGCTGAACCAGAGAGGCTTATGGGGGTGCAAGAGTCAGGGGAGGACGACACGTTGGGGGGTGGGGTGGGCACATCCTTAATGACTGGGAAAACTTGGGCTCAAATCCTAACTCCTCTTAACGGCTCTGTGACTCAGGAAAGTTACTTAACCTCTCTGAGCCTCCATGCCCCGTCTGTGCAACCAGACTACTACTTCTACTCAGCACACGGGTCCGTGATGACCATAATGAGAAAACGCAGCTGAGGGGCCCAGCACCTGGCGTGTGCTCCACAAAAGACAGCAATCGTAACATGAATGGACAGCAGATCAGACGGGGCTGTGCCATCCTCCCCTCGCAGATCCTGGAGGACTTCCCCCAGCCCCCTGTATCCTTCCCAGGA